TTAGCAAAGTTTCTTTACCCCAAGGTAATGGAATTTACCTATATTTTCTTCTAGTACTTGTATGCTTTAATTTTTTGCATTTAAATGTCTGATCCATTGGGAATTTATGCTGGTATGTTGTATTTGAGATGAATACAATTTTATCTTTTTCCATGTTACTCTCCCATTATCTCAACAACATTTGTTTAAAAATCTGTCTTTTCTGCCACTGATTTGATATGCTGCCTTTTTCATATCCTAAATTTTCATAGGTAATTGATTCTGTTTCTGCATATTTTATTCAGTTCCATTAGACTGTTTATTCACATGCCAGTATCAAATTATTTTAATTATAGATACTTAAGAGTTTGCTTTAATGTATGATAGGGCGGGTAGTTATTCCACCCTCCCCTACCTTGTTGTTCTTTTTGTTTTTGGGGGTGAGGTTGTCCCTGGCTATTCTTTATTTGTTCTCAATGAACTTGTCATTTCAAGTCAGTTTGCGATATGAAATATCAGAGCTTTTCATTCGGCTCTGTATTACCTTTTTTCTGTTACATGAACATTTCTAATTTGGACATTTTAAGTGGTCTATAAAAGTAAGAAGTTTCCTTCCTGAGTCAGTGGAACTGCTATAACTGTCCCGTTTAAGCCAAAGGAGAGGCAGGATTGTATTAGGCTTGCTCTCTTAAAGGAGTGGCCCGAGTCACCTGCATCCCCCTGGCTTTCCCTGTGCTAATGATCAGTGAGGAGCTCCAGAGCTGTAGTGGCTGCTAACCGAAAGGTTTGTGGGTTTCAGGAGAAAGACCTGACAGTCTGCTCCCGTGAAGATAACAGCCTTTTAGAAAAACCTCTGGTGCAGTTCTAGTCTGTCACCCAGGGTTGCTATGAGTCAGAATCAACTGGGCAGCACCTAACAACAATGATCAGTGAAAACTTTGCCTGGCCACTGTCACCACATTTGGTCAATTGTTTTCACCATCCTCCTCTGTTGCCTTTCTTTTACTCAGTGTTTTTAGCTATAAAACTACACTTTCTTAGGATTTCATCCCGGAAATTAATTGTCATCCTTGCAGCTCCTATATTATCCCTTAGGGATCAGATAGATAGGATTAATGTTTTCTTCTGTATGGTTAAAAAGAGGCTTTTGATGGAATCTGATTGTGCTTCTCCGTCTATCCAAGGCAGTGCAGTTGACCCAAGAGACTCAACTGAGAAACCATCATTAGAACAGTAAGTGAGTTCAGTTAGGTCACAAAATGAATATATGGAACTCAATAATTTTCATACAGAGGCAATTAGAAAATTTAATGAAAAAAGAAATTTCATCACATTGGCAAAAAATGGGTATATATAAAATACCTAGGAGTTAGCTTGACAAGACTATAGAACTTAAATGAAAGGAAAACACCGTAAAGCTTTACAGAAGGACCTAAATAAAGATTAATTTTGAATAAATAGTAAGCCATATAGTGTTTCTAGTTGGGACAACCCTGTGTAACCCAGATGATCCCAAGGGTCCCAGATTTATGAACTCAGTTGTTTCTTTAATATCAGAATAAACTGATGCTACTGCATGTTTTGTGGGATGTTTGTCACCATCTTGAAAATCTGTGAGAATTTCCAGAGAAGATTGAGGGGCTTATGTGCCCCTCGATCAATATAAACTACAACTGCTTCTCTGCTCTCCTGTTACTTGATCATTCACTCATTTATTCAACAAATGCTTATTGTTGATTGAGTGCTTACCATGTCCTAGGCACTCCCATAGATGCTCACTAACGGTTGCAGCGACTCCTGGGGCTGCCGCCTCTGACCATTCCTGGGTCACCCTTGGCTTGGGACATTGTCTCTTCTCTTACCTTGCTTCTGTTGAGCGTCACTAATGTGAGACTATGTTATACAAGACTTTTACTGAGGTTTGGGGGATACTGATGGTGACTGAGGGTTTTGCGGGGAGGAGTACAGGTGTAGGGTTTAAGTAGAAACAACATAAAACAATAAGCAATGAAAAATTAAATATTAGACATCTTAAAGTTCATAGGTCATCCTCCACAGGAATGTTTCCCTTTATCCTTTATCCTTAGGTCCCACCTGCTGCCATCTTTTGGAATTGCCTCTTCCTGTCTCAGCAGATCTTATTTATCCTCTGCTCGACCTCTCTAATGTTTGGACTTCTTAACCCCTCTTCCTAGTCTTTGGAAACTCAAGCCTCCTGCTATTTTATAATGCAGACCAACTTACCAATCTCTTTCTCTCCCTTTTACTAATCCAGATCACACCCTGGAAGGCTTTAATTTGCGAGCCAAATAAATCATTGAGCTATTCCCCCTCCTTGCCTGCCACAAAAATGGAGCATTCTTCACTCCTTGAAAGTAATTCTGTCGCAGCAAGTTTTAAAACATCTTTTGTTTTTCCTTAACCACACTTGGATTTTGAAGATACCAGGTCTCTCCTAAATTAATAAAGCAAATAGAGTTATTCCAGTTATAATGCCAATGAGACTTTTTTCTGGAATCTAAGAACATTATCTTAAAGTTAATCTGGGGAAAAAATAAAAAGCACAAAGAATAAGACAAATCTTAAAAAGAAGAAAAATGGAGCGCTTACTCTACCAAGGAAGCAGCTCTGGTGGTACAATGGTTAAGCCCTTGGCTGCTAACCAACAGGTTGGTGTTTTGAACCCACCAGCTGCTCCACAGGAGAAAAGTCTGGACAATCTCTAAAGATTACAGCCTAGAAAACCCTGTGAAGCAGTTCTGCTGTGTCCTAGAGGGTTGCTATGAGTCAGAATTGACCTGATGGCACACAGCAATGACGACTCTACCAAGTGTTTAAACAGCACTTATTGTTCGAGTGGAAGAATGAGCAAAATTAGACAAAACAAAAACAAGACTAAATGGGTACACCAACCCAGAGCCAAGGAGGACGAGAAGGCAGGACGGAACAGGAAGGGTAGTAATGGGGAACCCAGGGTCGAGAAGGGGAGAGTGTTGACCTGTCATGGAGTTGGCAACCAATGTCACAAAACAATATTCTTATTAATTGTTTAATGAGAAACTAATTTGCTCTGTAAACCTTCATCTAAAGTACAATTAAAAAAAAGTATTGTTGTTAGCTGCCATTGAGTTGGCCCCTGATTTATGGTGACCCCATGCACAGTGGAACGCAACACTGCCCAGTCCTGCACCCTCCCCATGATCAGTTGAGGATCAGACTGATGTGATCTATAGGTTTTTCATTGGCTTATTTTGGAAGTAGATTGCCAGGCCTTTCTTCCTAGTCCAAAAGTTTTTAGAACGTGAGAGAGGAAGAAAATACAAGTAACTTCCTAATCCTGGGCTAAGGAAGGCCTTTCTAAGCATGATAACAAAGACAGAAACTATAATGGGAAGAATAAAGTTTAACTTCTGTAAGTAAAAAAAAAAAAGTAAAAAGTCAGTGGCAAATTGGGAAACCCATTTGCTAAAGATGTAACAGACAAGGGATTAATGTCATATTTTATGTATCTGTGTATGTCTGTGTACACACACGCATACATATATATGTATGTAATTCTTACAAATAAATAAAAAATAGCATTCCATACAACATGGATGAAACTTGAAAACATTATGCTAAGTGAAAGAGACAGACGCAAAAGGCCACATATTGTATGATTCGTTTACATGAAATGTCTAAAATACGTAAATCTATAGAGACCAAAAGTAGGTTAGTGGTTGCCAGGGGCTGGGGATAGGGGGAAATGAGGGATGACTGCTAATGTGTAGGGGGGTTCCTTTTTGGGGGTGATGAAAATATTCTGGAATTAGACAGTTGTGATGGTTGAACAACTTTGTGAATATACTAAAAACCACTGAATTGTACACTTTAAAAGGGTAAATTTTAAGTTACATGAGTTATGTCTCAATTAAAAATTTTTCTAAAAAAAGATAAATCCGCCCCACTGAGCTAACAGGAGAGGGAAGAAAAAAATGACTAGCCAGGAGAGAAAGGTGAAAGAATATGAACTAAAAGTTTTTTAAAGTAAGAAAAATGACTAATAAACCTATAAAGTGCAAATTAAAGCAATAAGATGAAATATTTGCCTATTTCCTTGGCAAAAATGAAAAGAAAATACGAATTTCTATCATTGGGTAGAGTGTAGACTAATGGATATTCACTTATAACTGGTGTTGATGAAGGGCAATTTGGCAGTATGTTTTTTAAGTTGTATCCTTGCAATTCAGTTTCTAGAATTTATCTTATAGAAGTACTGTGTACCATTCAAAATAAAGTAGCAAAATATTCATAACACAGAAAGATGTTTCTGCTCTTAGAAAAATTAGAATGTACGTAGAATGTGTATTTGTAGAATGAGACAGACTAATAGAAGTGCACACTGGAAAGGCTGCAGGATACTCTCTAAAATGTAAGCAATAATAGCATCTTCTGGTGGAATAACAGGTAATTTGTATTTTCTTATTTGTTCTTACCTATATTTTCAGTTTATCTGTATTTTCCAAATATTCTATACTACCGGTATCTCTTATAATCAGAAAATAATAGCAAAAGTTATTTAAAATAATACAATTTTAAGTGTGGGGAAGATTTCTGGTTTGTTGTCTTGGGTGAGCACCTGAGGGGGAGTGAGATTAGAAACTTCTCATTTCTCCTTCTGTGTCAAGGGTAGAGATTCAGAGGAGATCAATTGGAATTCCTCAAATTTTCCAAAGCCAGATTCTTACTCTCCAGCTGACCATAGGAATATCCTTCAGTGGAGTGTATAGATTCAGGATCTGACCATTCAACTGGTAGTTTTATAACAGACAATTATAAGCTAAACTGTCTGTGGTATATCCATTCCAAGATACTTCCTCTTCAAAATCAGGTATTTTAAGTTTTCCCACATGGGTCATGTTGACTGGAGTTCTTTCTGATTATTGACTTGAATTATGTTCCTTGAACATAACAATTTTCTTCTCCCAATTTCCCAGACAGAATCATGAATAAACTGGAGGATAAGCAGGACCAGATGATACCATGAAGAGAAGTTTACAGGCCCTCTATTGCCAACTGTTAAGTAAGTCAATACCTTGTTTCCTCTTTCCTATAATATACCAACGTTATTTTTTGCCAAGTGCCAGAAACTTACACACCTTCTGGAGGAACACCAGGGTTTGGCCATTGTGGAAGGACAGTAAGTTTTTCCTGTGCTTCCTCATCTAGGTACTTGAAGTATCAAGCATAAAGTCATTGTATTGCCTTGGGCATCAGTTGTAATGTAGACTATAATAATTCTAAATTAACACGTTAAGCATAGTTCATTCAAGAATGAGTGTTAAAAATGTTAGTGCTCTTGGTTTTGTAATATAATAAAGGATGTTCCAGTATGACCTTATGTAGGTTCCTCACGGAGAAGGGATAGTAGATTGTATTTGTGGATTTTGCCACATAGAACCTGTTACCATTCTTTGGCTATTTGGCCTTGGCTTGGAATGTTATGCATAGTTATGCATGGTTCTGAAATAGTGAGTGCTGAAAATGTGATTGACATGTTAAGCCTATTTCCTTCAAGGGTGAGTGTCCAAACCGTTGTTGGTTTTGTTAGTAGGAAAAAAAAAAAAAAAAAAGAATGTTCTATTATGACCTCTGTATGTTGATCATGTGTTTTGGGGATTTTGCTCCAAAGCACTAGTTGCCATTCAGGGACTATATAGCCTGTAGATTAGAATTGTTCCTGGATGAATGTAAAAACCAACGCCAGTTGGCAGATATGATGTTCAGATTGATCCACTTGAGACAAAAGGCATTGCTCTACGACAGGTCACACCACAGCCATGGTGTTGGGGAAACTTGGAGTGCTTGTCTTGTCCTTGCTGATGTAACTTCCTAAGAATTACAGCCAACAAAACCTTATGGACCAGTTGTACTCTGTAACATGTGGGGTTGCCTTGAGTCCTGGGCCGACTCCAAGGCAGCCAACAACAACAACATCTTTCCTAGGCTGAGTGGCTCATTGTTAACTTTGATGAGACAGTAAAATTAAAAAGAGATTGAGATGCAAATCACCAATCAGCCCTTAGAATTTAGCAATTCAGGTTATGTTGCATCCTCAGTGCAAAGCCCTTATCTACAGACAGCATTCGGGCTGGGTGTTTTAATTGACTCATTTCTTCTGCTGCATTCTAATCCCTGAAACGCGGATCACATCAGCCTGATTTCAGCCTGGTAGAAAGTTGACAAGAGTTATGGCACTCTCGCAAGCTCTTTCTCCATGTGTCCCACTGGGCTGTTTTTTATTGTTTTTTAATGATAAGCTTGTTTGTTAGAGAAAAGGCTTTACAGATTGAAGAAGCAATGTCATAAACAAGAAATGAATGATTAACTCTACATTGGTGGGAGAGGAGACATTGAGGAAAGCTTCTCAAAGTGGGGAATTTGAAGGATAAATCAAATTTCATTTCCCTTCCTCAGAGAAGGGGAAGCAGGCTTTGCAGGCAGTTGTTAGGTGGCATCGAGTTGGTTCCAACTCATAGTGACCCTGTGTACAACAGAACAAAACACTGCCTAGTCCTGCACCATCCTCACAATCATTGTATGCTTGAGCGATTGTTGCAGCCACTGTGTCAGTCCATGTTGTTGGAGTCTTCCTCTTTTTCTCTGACCCTCTATTTTACCAAGTAGGAGAAACAGGAAATGAGAAAGAGCACAGTAGATGTGGGAGGCAGAAAATGTTTGTTGAGTTCACTTACACTGATTGTATGCCCCAAGTTTGCATACTATTATAAGGCCATATATTATTTGAAAGGCATCAGATAAAATATTCTAAGTTTAGAAATGAGTCTTATAACATGACAAAGTTCATCCTCCCAAGTTGAGCAATATATGAAAGTTGAAGGGTTTTCTTCAAAGGTCATCTGGATAGCATCGGAAACAACCGTGTCTCAACACCTTCGTTGTTTGCAAAGCTTGACGGGAAATGCAAACAGCGCAGGGTAGGTCAGCTTCCTGACTGTTAAGTAGTGGCCCTCCCTGAATCACCCTGATTACTAGGTTGCTTGATTGTGAGCTGGAGCCCTGCTTCCTTCAGAGCTGGTGGGGCCAAGCACTTTGGCCCTAAATTCAATTAGTTTAACTTCAGAGAATGGTTTTCACAAGTTCATTGAGGTGAAGGCTGTTATTTATAGTTATTTTTCTTTTCATGAGAGGAGCTGGATGTTTAGTAAAATCCTAGGTAAGTTAAAATAAACTGACATGCATAACACACACAGAATATGTGTCATACATATCATTGGTCAGCCAATTATTAACTTACAACTATGTTAACATTGTCCACAAACAAAGTGTTTTTGTGGTGTCTAAAATAGATTTGAGAGCTAAAGACTCAGCACAAACTCAATATATTGTTTTTCATCACCCAGAAAAATGATTTTTTTTAAATCTGGTGGGGGGGCTGATAAGGAGAGTGTTCTGGTTATTCATTGTTACATAACACACCACCCCAAAACTTTGTGGCTTAAAACAACATCATTTCTTTTACTTATGAGTCTGCAGTGTGGGCAGGGCTTGGTAGAGACTACTTCTCTGCTCCACAGTGCCTGGAGTGGGGCTGGAATGATTCTACCGCCTGGGGGCTAGAACAGCTGGTGCTGACTGGGCATCTCTTTCTCTCTGAGACCTTTTCACATGACTGGTTTAGGCTTCTTCACAGCTTGGCCTCAGGGTGTCAGATTTCTGACAGGGCAGCTCAGGACACTGAGGCCCAGGCAAAAAGCTGTAAGGCTTCTTATGAACTATACTTGGAACTCCCAGAACAATAATTCTGCCACATCATATTGGTCAAAGAAGTCACTAAGACCCAGCCTGCCTCATGGGGAGGGCAATTACACTCCACCTCTTAAAGTGAAATGTTTTAATAATTTGTAGTCATCTTTAATCTACCACAGAGAGTATCTGTTTGTTAAAAAAATAATAACAACTAGTGGACAAATATTTGCCAGTTCATGAATTGTCATCATCATCATAGATGCAACTCTCTCTTGAGTGCCTACTGTGTTACAGCATTTGCTGGTCGACCCACCTGCATCATCTCATTCATTCCAGAGGTAAATGCTTCAAGGTGAAGAAGTGTCACAGATGAATACACTGTCCAGAGTGACTAGCTAGTGAGTGATGGAGCTGGAATCCACACCCAGGGCTGCCTGACAACTGCATACATGCCTTTCATTCTGCATGATGCCTCTGCTGCACATGTGAAATCTCAGCAGTGCGGCCCTTCTGCTTCTTACAGCTAGAAAGGGGTGGTCCTAACCTGTGACTGGTAAAGCTTGCATCCAGCTAGTAACCTCAGTCACAGTGTCTCAGTCTCACATTTGAATTATGAACTAGCCTCCCTCCCCAAATCCATATAACCTGACTCTAGACTCTTCAGCCATAATGAGAAGCTAGTTGGTGTGGAGTTCATTTCTCCTTGGAACCTATTTTTTGATGGAATGATCTGCCTCTCATCTGATCTCTGGAACTGAGCAGAAGCCCCATGGTACCTTTTCAGAGACTAAAAAATTCCAGCCTCTCTGTGGGTCACTTTGTCATAATCAGTAGTCATTAGGCTGTATGTGCCTGACACCAGGGCTGAGGGATGCAATCTTTGGCAGGCAGGGCAAATGAGGTTTTAATACTTTACTTTTATTACCACCTGACTGTCTCTGCCTTTGTTTTATTTCTTGGGCTCCATCCACAGTGCACGACTCAGCATTTCATCCTACCAGATTTAGCCCTTCAGGAAAGTTTAGTACATTTTATGTGATACCTTGGAACAACTGAAAGTTTAAGGATGGGGGTGGTGGTGAGAACCTTCCTGGTTACATAAAAACCAAATACTGTCATTCATTTTTCTTTTTCAGACTTAATAAATTAGGTGTGAAGATAGTGGTAACAACACTTGGGTTTTCAAGTCAGCAGACCAGGTTCCAATCCTAGCCCTACCACTTACTAGATTTCTTAATTTAGATAAGTTACTTAATCTCAATGAGCTTTATATGTAAAGTAGGCTATGACCACCCACTCCATAAAGTGGGTATTGAGTGAATTAACATGACATGTAGAAAACCTACAATAAATGTCAGTTCTTCAATGATGCTTCTTGTCTGGTACAGAGAGGTACAACCTAAGTGGAATTCTACTGTAACTAACATTTGCACCAAACTTTCTGGGTCACAAAGCGTGTTTCCCATAATTTGATTCATGACAACTATAAGAGGCAAGTGGGGGCATTAATTTTCACTGACCGCATTCTATAGAGGAGGGAATCGACATAATCAAGTCTCCCATTTCTGGGCTGCAGTTATTTTTAAAAAGTATTTAATATTGGGAAGTAAGGAGCATTGGTGGCACAGTAATTAAGAGCTATGGCTGCTAACCAAAAGGTCAGCAGTTCGAATCCACCAGACGCTCCTAGGAAACCCTATGGGGCAGTTCTACTCTGTCCTATAAGGTCGCTATGAGTCGGAATCAGCTCGATGGCAACAGGTTAAGTGTGGGTTTTTTGGTAAGGAGCATTATCACAAACCTTCAAGAACATGGCACTTCTGGGAAGGTGCTGAGCTAGCAGATTTGGTCTTTGCATAGGTCTGTGTACTTGGAATTTGTTGTGTTACTTCATTGTTAAGAAGACTAAGGTAATTATGATCCTATGAAAATAAGTTTTTATATTTCAGTATCTATTCAGATCAAAGTTGTTTGGGTACTTATTCAGAGTTAAGGAGTGATTAGGATTAGTACCTTAAGTGCTCACGGTACATCAAGGCATTTGAATGTCTTGAATCATGCTCTGTATTGTCCCTGGTACATCCTGCTTGCTCGCTCATGCATCCTCTGCATACACCTGGCCTGTGTTGGCCACATAGAGTAGAACTGCCCCATAGAGTTTCCAGGGAGCGCCTGGTAGATTCGAACTGCTGACCTTTTGGTTAGCAGCTGTAGCACTTAACCACTGTGCCACCAGGGCATTTCCTGCCTGTCTAGTCTCTTCCAGGCATAATGAGAAGCTGGTTGGGTATGGAGTTCATTTCCTCTTGGAAC